CCCGAGGGGGTCAACTCGGCTGGGGGACGATCTGCTGAAGCGGTGAGAGAGAGGCGGAGAACGGATTATCTATCTCCTTTGGGCTTGCAAGATATACCCCATCTCAGTACAAGCTTCCTCCCAATGTAATCTTGCTGCAAGCCCCTTTCAGTGTTAGGTAGCCCGTTACAGACTAGGGGGCTTGCAACCAGTGCTCCCTCTAAACTGTAGAATTTTGTAAGCAAAAATTCTGCATTGTGAGCTACTGGCATTAAAGTTGTGAGTGAGCGATTTGGCTACAGCATAAATTAGTTTGCTCCGGAGCCATCCTTCCTGAGCCAAGACAGAAATGTGAGCTGAAGGCTAAAAAGCTGTGAGCTAGCCCACACTAACTCAGTTTAGAGGGAACACTGCTTGCAACATATCCCCCAACTCAATACAACCCGCTCCTAATGCAACCTTGCTTCAAGCCCCTTTCAGTGTTAGGTAGCCCGTTACAGACTATCTTTAAAGGGAGCAGAGGAGCTGCAAAGCTTGTAATGACAGAATGCATAATTGACACGCGGAACTCACTGCCCCAGGATGTAGTGCTGTCCACAAGCTTAGCTGGCTTTGAAGAGGAAGGACGATTGATCCCTCAATGGCAGCTACGGGGCTAGATAGAGCCTCCCTGTTCAGAGGCAGTGTTCCTCTGGATGCCAGTTGGTGAGGGGGCAACAGCAGGTGGACGCTTTGGCCTGCCTGCCCCTTCTTGTAAGCCTTCCGAGACATCTGATTGGTCACTGTGGGAAACAGCATGCTGGATCCAGTGTGCCCTTGGTCTGATATAGCAGAACTCCCCTATAGCAGAACAATAAACACATTTCTGTCCCATTGTGCTTCCGTTGTGAAACTCAAGATGGCATAAGTGGAGGAGGATGTCGAGTGGGGAGGAGTCTCCCCCTCCCCCACACCTCCGGCGTTCACCAGAGCCAGACCTGATGAACTTTGGCAAGATTGCTGAATCAGACGCCTTCCTGCCGTAATACATGCATGCTGATAAAGTATTTATCATAAGAACATAAGAACATAAGAGACGCCAATGTTGGATCAGGCCAAAGGCCCATCCAGTCCAACACTCTGTGTCACACAGTGGCCAGAAATACCAGTGCCATCAGGAGGTCCAGCAGTGGGGCCAGGACATTAGAAGCCCTCCCACTGTTGACCCCCCCCCCAAGCACCAAGAAGACAGAGCATCACTTGCCCCAGAGCCCCTAGCTATACCTTGTGGCTAATAGCCACTGATGGACCTCTGCTCCATATGCTTATCTAATTCCCTTTTGAAGCCGTCCATGCTTGTAGCACCCACCACTTCCTGTGGCAGTGAATTCCATGTGTTAATCACTCTTTGGGTGAAGAAGTACTTCCTTTTATCCGTTCTAACCCGACCGCTCTGCAGTTTCATGGAGTGCCCACGAGTTCTTGTATTGTGAGAAAGGGAGAAAAGTACCTCTTTCTTTACCTGCTCTTTCCCATGCATAATCTTATAAACCTCGATCATGTCACCGCTCAGTCGTCTTTTCTCCAAGCTAAAGAGCCCTAAGCGCTTTAACCTTTCCTCATAGGGAAAGTGTTCCAACCCTTTTATCATTCGAGTTGCCCTTTTCTGCACTTTTTCCAAAGCTATAATATCCTTTTTAAGGTGTGGTGCCCAGAACTGCACACAGTATTCATTGGTGTGTGTGAGGTGCCGTGCAGCCACTTCCGACAGAGGGCAGCCCTATGGATAGATGACCTCCAAAATGTTGTATTATTAACAATGTTGCTCAGGTCTTGCAGAGTCTTCATTTACATGATTATAGTTACAGAAGGGTCTTCGTGTCTGTCCCTTGCAGCTAATGTAAACAGCCCGGTAACACTTTAAAGACAAGGTTTTTGTTCCAGAGCAATCTTTTTTGACTCAAGTGCTGCAGGGGGGATGCTGTGTCTACCTGTGAAGATAATTTGCATGCTGGTAAACAAAATTGGAAGGGGGTGTTTGTGGCCAGACACTCTTGCAATAAACTAGGCCTCCAGGAAGACTGCCAACAACTCAGAGATTTGTCTTGGACTCGGCTAGTGGGTGTGCAGATTTGTGATGATGGACATAAGATGTGCCTATCACTATTTCTCATGCTGGCTGGCCCTTGGTTGTTTGGACAGAAATCTGGCTCTGGGTGCCGGAGCAAAATATCTCGGTGAGCTGTAATCAGCACACGTACCAAGGGTTGCTTACCCTTGAGCTAGAATAAAATCTTAAGAACAGAAGAGAACATAGGAACATAAGAGAAGCCATGTTGGATCAGGCCAGTGGCCCATCCGGTCCAACACTCTGTGTCACACAGTGACCAAAACCCAGGTGCCATCTGTTTTTGACATCCCCTGTTCTTAGACCAAGGTCTTGAACAATCCAGGTGCCATCAGGAGGTCCGTCAGTGGGGCCAGAACGCCAGAGGTTCTCCCGTTGCCCTCCATGCACCAAGAATACAGAGCATCACTGCCACAGACATAGTGCTTCATTTATACCTGGTGGCTAATAGCCACTGGTGGACCTCTGCTCCATATGTTTATCTAATCCCCTCTTGAAGTTGTCTATGCTTGTAGACACCACCACTTCCTGTGGCAGTGAATTCTACATGTTAATGACTCTTTGGGTGAAGAAATACTTCCTTTTATCTTTTCTAAGCCTGCTGCTTATTAATTTCATTGAGTCCCCACAAGTTCCTGTATAGTGAGAAAGGGAGAAAAGTACTTCTTCTCTACCTTCTCTGTCCCATGCATAATTTTGTAAACCTCTATCATGTCACCCTTCAGCCGTCGTTTCTCCAAGCTAATGAGGCCTAATCTTGTAAGACTCTGCAGTAACTCTCAGACGCGATAAGTCCATTTATGGATTTTATTAGCAATCAGGAAAGTTGCAGGTGAATCAAAGGCTTTGACAGTAATGCCAGGTAATACAAGTTTAGCTCTTATGAGAACTTTGGTGCAGCCCACATTCATACATCATGGTTACATGTGATAAAGACAGGTTAAAGGTAAAGGTAAAAGTTCCCTTGCTCGAAAGCCAGTCGAATCCGACTCTAGGGTTGCGGTGCTCATCTCCATTTCAAAGCCGAAGAGCCAGCGCTGTCCGAAGACGTTTCCGTGGTCATGTGGCCGGCATGACTAAACACCAAGGCGCACGGAATGCTGTTACCTTCCCACCGAAGTGGTACCTATTTATCTACCACTGCTAGGTTGGCAGGAGCTGGAACTAGAGACGGGAGCTCACTCCGTCATGCGGCACACTCGGGTCTTGAACTGCTGAACTACTGACCTTCCACAGCCTGCAGTTCAGCGTCTTAACCACTTGAGCCACCGCAGCTCAAGTTAACAAAGACAGGTTAACAAAGTACAATTAGCCTTTCTTCACAGGGAAAGTGTTCCATCCCTTTAATCATTTTAGTTGCCCTTTTCTGCACCTCCTCAAATGCTATAAAATCTTTTTTGAGGTGCGGTGACCAGATCTTGTTTAGTCTTTAAAGATTCCTATTCACTTTAGTATTTGTATAGTGGGGCTCAAGTGTTCGGAGTTTGCTTACATGACCTCCTTGTCGATCAGGGCCAGTGGTTAGGTTTGAGCCCGAGAGAGAGAGAGAGAGAATCGCTTGGGCAAGAGTGCCTGCTTTGCATGCAGAAGGCCCCAGGTTCAAGTGGCCTCACCTCTAACTTCAAAAAGGAATTCAGGCACCAGGGCTGAGACCCTGGAGAACTGGTGCCACTCAGAATCGGTAAAACCAGCCTTGGTGGAGCAGTGCTGTGATGCAGTAAAGCACAGCACTCTTTATCTAGGGATGTTCACAGCACAGCCAGTTTGGTGTGGTGGTTAAGTGCGCGGACTCTAATCTGGGAGAACCGGGTTTGATTCCCCACTCCTCCACTTGCACCTGGCTGGATGACCTTGGGCAAGCCGTACTTCTGATAAGAGCTGTTCTTGTTCACATTATTGGTTTTGCATTCCTGCCTTGGGGGGACCCTTTGTGGGTTGAGAATGTGGGATGATAATAATAGAATCATAGAGTTGGAAGGGGCCATACAGGCCATGAACTCCAACCCCCTGCTCAGTGCAGGGTCAGCCTAGAGCAGTGATGGCGAACCTTTTAGAGACCGAGTGCCCAAACTGTGACCCAAAACCCACTTATTTATCGCAAAGTGCCAACACGGCAATTTATCCTGACTACTGAGGTTTTACTTTAGAAAAAACAACTCATACATTAACTTAAGATGATCCAAACAAAGTAAGGAAAGCAATCCCAAATGCTTTCATTTACTTAAAATTATTTGGCAGAGAATTCCACACCTTAATGACGGTCTGGGCCTGGCTGGGGCGATGACACGCGTGCCCACAGAGAGGGCTCTGAGTGCCACCTCTGGCACCCGTGCCATAGGTTCGCCACCACTGGCCTAGAGCATCCCTGACCAGTGTTCCTCCAGCCACTGCTTGAAGACTGCCAGTGAGGGGAAGCTCACCACCTTCCTAGGCAGCTGATTCCACTGCTGAACTACTCCATTCTTGCAAGTCCTCTCCTCTGCTGCCAACAGGAACAGCTCCCTGCCCTTCTCTAAGTGACAGCTTTTCACATACTTGGAGAGAGCCGTCATGTCCCCCCTCAACCTCCTCTTCTCCGTGCTGAACAATCCCAAGTTAAGTCCCTCCCTTCTCCAGTTGTGGGAGAGGGCTCTTCTTGGGAACTACTGCTTGTCAGAATAGACAATACCTGGCACGACGAGCCAGTGGTCCTATATCATCAGCACCTCAGTTTCCTCCTTTGTAAATCTGATGTGATGACGATCAACTTCTCAGGTTGTTCTGATGTCAAATGTGAAACACAGATCGCTTTGTAGATTAAAAACAAACAAACTAGTGGTACGTCTTTACTAGCAGAAGTAGATGAATACACTTTCTTTTCTTTCTAGGCCAGATTTGGAGGACGCAGTGGGGCATTCCACAAAGAAAGCTGTAAGAGGTGCTGAATCCCGACCCATGAATTTTCGAGTGGGTTTTGTACACACAGGAGAATCGCAGCAGCATGGCTTCTTTGGGTAAGGATCCCTGTCTTGTAATTTTGGATTTGAAATTGGCATACAGAGAAGGTGAAGGAGAAAGTAAAATACCATTGTCAGGGACAATATTGTGTGTGTGGGGGGGGGATTGTTCTTCTCACAATGACATGAGGCCTGGCTGGAATTCCCAGGGTACATTGTGCTTGTGTGCACAGAGATGTGCTATACCTGCCAGACATCCTGCCTGCCCCATCCCCTCTCTCTCTCCCCCTCACACACACGCACACACACACATTTTTATTTTGCTTTGAAGAAACTCCAGTAATACAGAAGAGCTCTCTCATAAAGTTTCTGGTGCCTCAGTGGATGGACTCAAACAAGGAAGCTTTAGAAGTTGAGTTAACAGTGCCTTTTGCTGAAACGTTAATGAAAATAATATGAAAGCTTTGGATCTTAAAGCGCAACCTTATGCAGAGCTGTTCTAAGCTATGCTGGTGTGTTTATGTGTCGCCAAGTCGCTTCCAGCTTACGGTGACCCTATGAATGAATGTCCTCTGAAGCATCCTCTTTTTAACAGCCTTGCTCAAGTCTTGCGAACTGCGGGTCATGGCTTCCTTGACTGACTCAAGCCCCCTCGTGTTGGGTCTTCCCCTTTTCCTGCTGTCTTCAACTCTTCCTAGCATTATTGTCTTTTCCAGTGAGTCTTGACTTCTCATGATGTGACCAAAGTATGACAGTGTATGCTTAGACTAGAGTAACCCTGTGTAGACTCCAATGAAGCTGATGGGCAGTAGGTTTAGGATAGAGAAAAGGAAATACTACTTTACACAGAGAGTGAATAAAGTGTGGAATTCGCTGCCAGAAGATCAGTGATGGCCAAAGGAATAAACAGCTTTGATAGATTCATGGAGGATAAGTCTATCTGTGGCTACCAGCCATGGTGACTGAGGGGAACCTTCACATTCAAAGGCATTAATCCTTGGAATCCCAGAGGCAGGAGGCAACATCAGGTGAAGGCCTCAGCCTCTGTGCCCTCTTGTTGGCCCTCCAGAAGAACTGGTTGGCCCTGCCACAAATTTTGTTAGTCTTTAAGGTGCTACTGGACTCTGGCTCTTTTCTACTGCTACAGACAGACTAACACGGCTACCCGTCTTCATTTATTTAAGACATTTATAAACTACCTTTCTTATCTTACAGGAACTTAAGGCAGCTTACAATGCAAACAGCAACAAAATGCAATTTCTCAGTGTTTTATTTCTCAAACATCATTGCTTTCCCCTGCTCAGACTTTCCACATGTGGTGATAAAGCTCGAAGACGAAGAGGTCCCCTGGCTGCCAAATAACCAGGGATCGGAGGAAAGTGAGACCTTCACAGCTACCTGCTCAGGTGAGGGCTGGATCCAGTGAATTGTGATGCACAAACGGTTGTGTAGAGTTCCCTCTCTTTTTTAATCTCTCAAGGTCAACCGCATGTTTAATCAACCTTTGCTCATTGAGTCTGAACGTTCTCAAGGCCGGGCTGTTGGGCCACAAAACTTAAGGAGCTGCCTTGGCTTGCTGACACTGGGAGCAGGCAGAGGTAGAACACACACCGCACCGTGGCATTTTGCAGGAAGTGGCCTTCTGTTCTGAATGCTCCTTCTCATTACAAAAAAACACCTCTAGAAAACGAGCACAGCAGCTTTCTGACACTTTTAATTGCATCTTCTCAGGATTCGATTTTGTAATCCTAATTGTCCTGTTTCTTGTACCTATTAAGTCATTAAGAGGCGAGCAAGGGCAAAAACCGCCTCTGAACGTCTCCTGCCTTGAAACCCTACAGCAGTGATGGCGAACCTTTTAGAGACCAAGTGCCCAAACTGCGACCCAAAACCCACTTATTTATCGCAAAGTGCCAAACACGGCAATTTAACCGGAATACTGAGGTTTTACTTTAGAAAGAACAACTCATACATTAACTTAAGATGATCCAAACAAAGTAAGGAAAGCAATCCCAAATGCTTTCATTTACTTAAAATTATTTGGCAGAGAATTCGACACTTTAACGGTGGTCTGGGCCTGGCTGGGGCGATGGCACGCGTGCCCACGGAGAGGGCTCTGAGTGTCACCTCTGGCACCTGTGCCATAGGTTCGCCACCACTGCCCTACAGGGTCGCCGTAGGTCAGCTGTGACTCGACCGCACTTTCCGCCACTATGACACCGTTATCTTTGGGTTCTCTAAATCTATCACTGGGCTTTTAACACATTGCTTGAATCTATTTATACTTCCTAATTGCATTCTTTTCTAGTGTTGTGATCCGTTTTTATTGTATCACTTATTGCATGTGTTATACTGTGTTCACTGCATTGCGTTCTAGTTGTGTAACCCACCTTCAGTCTCGGCTAGAAAAGCAAAATATAAAGGAAGTAACACAGAAGGGGCTGGAGCAAACGGCTTGCCCTCACTTGGCTCTTTCAGTGGCACTGGCTCTGAGTCACTCTCAGCTTTCCATGACTCCTGGGGAGTCTTCGTTCCTCATCAAGCTGGGGGAGGCTTCTTGGGGGGGAAGTCATCCAGGAACTGGTTAGCAGGACCCCAGCTGTGTGTCTTCCGGGGCGGGCTAGTTCTCCAGTCTTAAGAACATAAGAACAGAAGAGAAGCCCATCCAGTCCAACACTCTGTCACCCACTGGCCAAAAATACCAGGTGCCATCAGGAGGTCCAGCAGTGGGGCCTGGACACTAGAAGCCCTCCCACTGTTGTCCCCCCCCCCCAAGCACCAAGAAGACAGAGCATCCCTTGCCCCAGATGGAGAGTCCCTATCTATACCTTGTGGCTAATAGCCACTGATGGACTTCTGCTCCATATGCTTATCTAATTCCCTCTTGAAGCCGTCCATGCTTGTAGCTGCCGCCACCTCCTGTGGCAGTGAATTCCATGTGTTCATCACTCTTTGGGTGAAGAAATACTTCCCTTTATCTGTTCTAAACCGACCGCTCAGCAATTTCATGGAGTGCCCATGAGTTCTTGTATTGTGAGAAAGGGAGAAAAGTACCTCTTTCTCTACCTGCTCCATCCCATGCATAATCTTATAAACCTCAATCATGTCACCCCTCAGTTGTCATTTCTCCAAACTAAAGAGCCCCAAGTGCTTTAACCTTTCTTCATCGGGAAAGTGTTCCAACCCTTTTATCATTCAAGTTGCCCTTTTCTGCACTTTTTCCAAAGCTATAATATCCTTTTTGAGGTGTGGTGACCAGAACTGTACACAGTACTCCAAATGAGGTCGCACCATCAATTTATACAGGGGCATTATGATACCGGCTGATTTGTCTTAACCTGCTTCAGCTCTTTGCTGCAGAACCCTTCTGCCAAAGGATGCTTCCGCCGATGAGGCTAGCTCTATTCTGTAGTGCCTCACAAAAGTCATGAAGGATGCCCATGTGGCGACCCTGCATATCTCTTCAGCTGTTGCCCTAGTGGAGAAGGCTACCGTAGTTGCAGCTGCTCTGGTCAAATGTGCCATGATATTTTTTTTTGGGGGGGGGGCCTCCGACCCTGTACTTTGTATGCCTTGGAGATGCACTGTTTGACCCAGTAGGCTATGGTGGTTTTAAGATCTTTCTGCCCTTGATTCTGCACATTGTGAGAGACAAAGAGCATGTCTGACCTTCGGAATGCAGCCGTATTCTTAAGGTAAATGAGCAAAGCCCTGCGCACGTCGAGTTTGTGCTAACCAGATGAAATAGAGTCCTCCTGCCCTTCCTACCAGGGAGCCCCTTGAACCCGTGCTTTCATGACAGTAACAGGGACTAGCCTCTTGGCTGTCAGATATACTGATAACAGCAGCATAGCTGTTGTGAGGATTGCTGAGGTAATGTGTGAAACACATTGGATCTTCTGAAGGACTATATAAATGGGACTTGTGAGGGTTATATTTCAGGGCTGGTCTAGATGTTTACTGTTCCCTTTGCGGCGGAGGAACCTTCTTATGTGCATCTGGGCCAGGGCTACAGTGGGCCCCCTTGGGGCTGTTGGCACAAACTATTGTGCATCGGGCCTGGGGTAAGAAGGCTGAAGTCTTCCCTGCCTCCAAGGGGAGAGTCTCCATTTCAAAGGGAAGAGCTGAGAGGAGCCATGAATCAGAACATTAGCCCAGAACTGTGTCTGGCAGTGTATTTGAGCTTACCCCCCCCCCCAATCTCCAAAAACCCTGTGAGAAAAGAGAGGTGAAAAGAGAGGGGCCCAAAGTCAGCCAGTGAGCTTCAGAAAAATGAACCATGCCTCCATTCATATGCTCCTTCGTACAAACTGCCTCCCCAACTCTGCCTCCCGTTTCTTTTTCCTATTCACTCAGGCGTGGCCCCTTGAACATAAGAAACGGCATCCGTGGGCAATTATCTCCAAAGTCTCAGCCAAAGGATTTGAGAGCCAGTTTGGTGCAGTGGTTAGGAGCGCGGACTTTAATCTGGGAGAACCGGGTTTGATTCCCCACTCCTCCATGTGCAGCTGCTGGTGTTGCCTTGGGTCAGTCACAAGTTCTTTCAGAACTGTTCTCACAAGCAGTTTCTGTCAAGAGCTCTCTCAGCCCCACCTACCTCACAGGGTGTCTGTTGTGGGGCGGGGAAGGGAAAGGAGATAGTAAGCCGCTCTGAGACTCCTTCAGGTAGTAAAGGGCGGGGTATAAATCCCATCTCTTCTCTCCTCTCCTCTTAGAAAAAAGAAGCCAGGCATTGAAGCTGGGATCTTCTGCACACTAAGAACGTACTTTACTTCTCTATTCTAGAGACTCCAGGCAGCTCATACTGTCTATGAACCTGTTCCATTGTTACCTTTTCCATCCTCTGAGGAGTTTATGACAACATACTTGGTTCTCTCTCCCTCCAACAGCTCTGTGACGTTGTTAGGCTGAGTGGGAATGACTGGGCCATGGATGCTCCATGACCAAGTGGGGATTTGTACCCAGGTCTGACAGTGTAACCGTTGGTTCTCCACACACCTTGGGAGATTGTTTTTCTCTTCCCTCACTGCAACCACTCTTTGTCCATCCTGGTGATTATCTCTGTTTCCAGCACAGAGGTAGCTCTGTCCGCTCTAGAATCAAAAAATGATTAAGACGTGACAGGTAATGGACCAAATTCCTTTTGATCAAGTCTGTTTCCTTCCTTCCTTCCTTCAGCAGGCTTAGGATTCGCCATTCCCAAATCTGAGGTGGTCCATGGGGGAGATCCGTGGATTCCGGAGCCTGTTTCAGAGGAAAGGGAGATCCCAACGGATTATGGGTCAGGTGAGGGAACATAAAAAATGTGGGGACAAAGACTTCTAATGCTGGGCTAAACCTCCCTCATGAGAAAGAGTCCAGCGGTCCCTGTCCAGGACTTGGAAGTCTGCTCCCTGACAGAAATCTGGGCAGGGCTTCCTCTCATGACAAAGAAGCTTCTGGTTGGGCTTTTTTCTTCTTCTTTTGTTGTGTTTCTTACTAAATAATATTTGCCTAATGCCTTCTTTAAAAAAACAGCCATTACCAAAAAGTTATATGATTTCCCTTTGAACGCTAGTAAACTTTCTCCTCAGCCATTTATATTCTCTGTTCTCCCCTCCCCCCCCCCCAACTGCTAAAAAGGATGAGGTGGAGAGAGACAGAGAACCAGAGTTAGACACACAACGGACCAGTT